TCAGTGCCATGGGCTGGGAACCACAGCGGGGTTGGATCAAGGGTTGGACTGGATGATCTCAGAGGTCCCTTCCCACCCAGCTGATCCTGGGATTCCATGATTCTGTGACTCACTTCTGCTCGATGGGCTCCAGCAGGTCCAGGGCTGGCTTGATCTCCTTCTCGGGCTCGGGGGTCTCCACGGTGGTGCTGGCGATGGCGATGTACTTGCCCTGCGCCGCCACGTTGTGGGCAGAGGAGATCATGCACACGTAGATGTCTGTGGGATGTGGCACACGCCCGGATCAGCAGCAGGGACAGCAAATCCCCCTCCAGCCCCAGCCTCTGCCCACCCGGGACAGGCCAGCCTTGGCCCACGGCCCTGGGTGCTCTCAGTGCCCAGTTGAGGGGCCTGGGCATGAGGGAGGGCTCCGAAACTCAGCTCACTGGGGCTCTGATGGCTCCTGAAACCCAGCAGGGTCCCCACCCCGCTGTTCAAGGAAGCATCTCCCCTCCTCGGCACCTCCAGAGCTCTGGGGTGTGGTTTTAACTCCCCTCAGCCCTTTCCACAGCTCCAGGGTTGGTTTAACTCCCCTCAGCCCCTTCACACCTCCAGCCTGGGGTTTAACCCCCCTCAGCCCCTTCCACACCTCCAGGGTGGGGTTTAACTCCCCTCAGCCCCTTCCACAGCTCCAAGGTTGGGTTTAACTCCCCTCAGCCCCTTCCAAAGCTCCAAGGTTGGGTTTAACTCCCCTCAGTCCCTTCCACACCTCCAGGGTTGGGTTTAACTCCCCTCAGCCCCTTCAAAGTTCTGGTTGGGTTTAACTCCCCTCAGTCCCTTCCACACCTCCAGGGTTGGGTTTAACTCCCCTCAACCCTTCCACACCTCCAGGGTCAGGGTTTAACAGCCCTTCCAGCCCCGTGTTTCTTTTCCACTTGGCCAAACCCCCCCTTAGACCGAAACCTCTTCCACACCCTCTGCTCCAACACCAGCCCTCGCCCTCCCTGAGCACCTCACCCTCCTCCCCCACTTCTCCCAGGCCAGGGCACTTCCCTCCCGCAGGTTCCTCCCGCGGTTTTCCCACCACAGGCTTCTCCCACCTCCCCCATCCCTGCTCCGAACCGAAGCCCAGCCTCGCCAGGGACGGAAAACCCCTGGGGGAGGACACAAGGACCCCGGTGCCCGTTTTCCCGCGTGGTTCCCCCCTCCCCAGAGCTGCCCACGGACCTGATTTCCGGTTGACCTGGTTCTGTGGAATGATGATCTGGCAGGAGTTGGCGTCGTTGGTGTTCTTGATGGGGTGGCTCAGGATGCAGATGACCCGGATCACCTGGCCCACCTTGGTCACGCGGTCCGACACGTAGCTGGGGTCGCAGATGAGCTGTTTGCAGCGAGCCACCTGGGACACGGGGGGGATATGGGACACCAGGACACCTCATAACTCCCTTTTCCAGGAATTGTTTAACAGCTGACCCACCTGGAGCCCCCCAGGCCACCCACACTCGGTCACATCACTCCGTGGCGTGGGTTGTCACCTCCACTCCCACGTTTCCACCCCGAGGGGACACGTCACCAAGAGCTCAGCTGCCCCCTGGGCACCTACTTCAGCCAGGAGCACATGGAGAGCTTCCCACATTTCCACCCCGAGGGGACACGTCACCAAGAGCTCAGCTGCCCCCCCCCAAGCACCTGCTCCGGTCAGGAGCACATGGAGAACTTCCAAGCATTCCCAGTTTTGTGTCTCCAGGTGGGGAAGCAGCTGCAGGAAGGCAGGGCTGGGTGTCTACGTTAGACACAGGGACACTGAATAAATCCCTTCCTGATTCACTCATAGTTATTCAAGGACAACCCTGCCAGGGCATGGATACTCCATCCCAAGCCCTGGAGAGGGGCTCTTGGATGGATCCTCACCATGGGGACACCAACGTGCCTCAAGGGAGCTGGAGAACAGCACCAGCCCAGCAGGCTGGGAAAATGGGGTTTCTACTGCAACTGTTCAATCTATGGCCAAAAGGCTCAGTTTTTAGGGAAAACATGGAGGGTAGGGAGTAAGGAATGAATCCAAGGGACTGTACCTCCCCTTCAGACTTCACCCCGACCACTTTGCCGTTCTCGATCACGATCTCCTCGATGGGTTTGTTGAGCATGTAGGTGCCTCCATAGATAGCGCTGAGCCTGCAGGAGGAAACTTCCACAGCTCCAGCCTGGGGTTTAACCCCCCTCAGCCCCTTCCACAGCTCCAGGGTGGGGTTTAACTCCCCTTGGGCCCTTCCACACCTCCAGCCTGGGGTTTAACTCCCCTCAGCCCTTTCCACAGCTCTGGTTGAGCTTTAACTCCTCTCAGCTCCTTCCACAGCTCCAGGGTTGGGTTTAACTCCCCTCAGCCCCTTCCACAGCTCCATGGTCGGGTTTAACTCCCCTCAGCCCTTTCCACAGCTCTGGTTGAGCTTTAACTCCCCTCAGCCCCTTCCACACCTCCAGGGTGAGGCTGTGACCTCCTTCTGGATTAATCAGATGTTTGGAGCAACACCTCGGAATTCACACTCTAAATACTGGAATACAAAGGCCCAGAAATTTCCAAGCACAACTACTGAGCGTCAGGAGTTCCTGGTTTTGAACGACTGGAACTTGGACACCTTCAATGGATTTGATTTCTGAGTGTCCTGGGCCCTCTCCCTGAATTCCTGATGAGAAGTCTGAGGTTGGCAACGTAGGAAGAGCTGTAACTTCACATCTCACCACAAGCACAACCGCGTGTTCCTGTGCCAACGTAACTTCAGATTTCTGCACAAACACAACTTCTTCTTTCTGTAAATCTGTATTTTTGTACCAGCAACAGACCCTCCAGACCTCTGACTACTTTGAGAAACCCCAGCCAGGGATCACTTAATGCTCCTAAGGCATCTTTTATTTTATTTTCAAGTGAGATTTTGAGCTGCATGTGAAAAATAAATAATTTTGGCAGTTGAGGCACAGCATTTTTTACTGACGATTCTTTTGAAATATTCAACATTGACTGTGCTGTTTCTTTTTTTTTGTTGTTTTCCTCCCTGAGTTTGGCTAGCAAAGCTGTGAACAGACCCTTCAAAAAATGAAACCCTCACTAGGAATTTAGCCACATTTATGCATCTTTCTGCACTAGAGAAGCCCTGCACAGACCTCCTGGATGGGCTGGATGATGCAAACCCACATCTCCCACCGCCAGAAACCAGCCCAGGAGGAAGGAACCTCACAGGGAGGATTAGTTCTGGATTAAGGCAGTGAGAGAACCATTAACGACCCGAGTGTTTTGATGCTCTGGAAGCTCTAGGACTGGCTCCCCACATCAGAGAATCACAGAATCAGTCGGGCTGGAAGGGA